GTTAAAATGTTTTCTGTCTGTGTACTCTCTAAAGTCAGGGTACGACAAAGTCTTTTGCTGCATATCCTATTCCTCCAATTCTTTCTCTGTTATTAAAAAAAAAAAGACTTTCTCGTATAAAGATCACAGAAGGTACGAAGCTTAAACAACCTAGTTCCTAGTTCAAGCAAAAGAAGAACCATTTTAGTCAATGAAACGTTCAGCTTAGGACAGACTATAAGAAAACATGACAGGTTTACCTAATCAACACTCAATTACCATAGAGTACACATAGAGTTATATTCTTTCTGTGCCCGATCAGTTAATTGAAATCTATCAAAGCTACCATTCAGGTATACCATGGCAACCTAGAAAGACAGAAAAAATATTCAAGGTGCATGTTTTTATCCAAATATCTTTCCTATACAATGCACCAAATCTGACTGCAATCTTTGTGCCCTTCTAAGACACATGGTATATAAGATGGGGAAGAATGAAAACAAAAATGACTGAGCTAAGGGAAGAATGGTATCAGGGCTCTGCATTCTGTACCCATACACAGTTGTCTTATTTGCTTCTTAAGAACCAACACAAGAATAAGACACGTCACCATAAAAATCACTCATTCAAATGACTAATGAAGAATTATATTTTATACCGCAGTCAGCCAGACTGCTTAGAGTAATTACATAAAAGTAGCAATAAATACACTCTGATTTATTGTGAAATGATAGATTAAAAAAAAAAGGATTTTGAATGTTGACAAATGCACTTTAACTGAAACAACCGATTACACTCATTTAATCATTTGCACCATATTAGCAAAAACATATCTGCTGAAGAGCACATTTAATCCTGACAGGGAACTGATAGATAAAAAGAATATAAATTAAATTAGTGTTTATAAAGCACACGTAAGAAAATACTAAAGCTAGGGTTTCTGAAGCAGCAATATTTTGGCCACATTACAGAACATTCTCTATTCTTGCTTGAATGTACAGCAGGTTACTGTATAGAAACGCACCACTAAGTTAGTAAATGGAAATATTACTATTAGGATGGCAATACTTATCCTTAGGATGACTTATCCTAAGGCGATCGACCATGTTTTTCAAAGCCTGGGAGAACTGTGATATCTTCTTGATGATTATACATCCTGAATAAACAATAGTATCACACTAATATTATATTATGTAATGCATTTTCTAGTTTCTGTACTTTAAAAACAAACAAACAAGCAAAAAGCCTATTCTGAAATTTTAGATCTCCTTAAACGCAGCAAGTCCACTGTACTTAACACACAACAACTTACAATTGTATATAATCACTGTATTGAATGTACCATTTTAAATAACTTTTTTCCAATTAAAAGAAAATCTGTATTCAATAATTACAGTATGACAGTATTTGTATGATATCAAAGTACCTTATGATGACACCGTATATCGTTTTACATGGTTTTGACAAGTATTCTTGGAAGAAAAGGGTTAACCAGTAATTTCTGAAACTTCTGTTACTTATATTCAGTAATCTGAATATAAACCCTGAAATTTCATTATTGATCAAATTTATTAATATATTCACTAGTTTAAAGTTTCAGAAATTACTGCTTACTTCAATCACCTTGCCACTTCTGCTTGAATAATATGAAAGAGGACAAATGGAAGATTTTTTGAGTTCTGCAAGGAGTATATATATGAACGTGGAACATCTTGCACATGCACATTAGGTACCCTACCCTACCTTTAATGAATCTTTAAAACAACATCATGTAATTTATTGGTGAAATTTATACCAGCACACCAAGAAAGATATACAGTCAAAGGTGCTTTTTACTGTTACTACTATGCCTATATGAAGACATATTTCTCATGTATAAAAGTAGAGACCAGACCACGGATCACATGCAGTAGGCTTAATTTATAAGAAAGTTTACAGCTAATGTGTGAACAACATGGAAGAATAGCTAAAACAAACTCCGAATTAGTTTCTTTAATCAGAACAACCTCTTGGTAAAATTTGTTTACAAAAGTCAAGAAAAAATACTTTGTGTGTAACAGTCCAATTTGTGCTGCAGTTTTAGCAAGAGGCCTGTGTAAGACATGTGGATATGAAAAATGTTAAGCTCGAGTGAAGTTTATTATAAGCAGGGCTGTTTGGAAACAGTATTTAATGACACAACATATGGGTGTGTTTTAAGTGTGCATTTCATTGACAACAAATAGTCTGAGTACCACGGGTTTCAAACTGAATAAGCATTAGTAGCAGTAGTGTTCTCTCCCAGTGCTTGCTACCTTTGCAGGTATTACTTCAGTAAAATAAAAATATCTTACAATCATAGGTAGAGCACCATCAAAATGTAATTGGCTACTTTCAAGCTAGCATTTACTGTGATAGATTTAAGATTTACCTGGTACACTCAGATGGCATGGTGTTTTGTGGTAGAAGTTGTTATACCTTAAGAACTATAATATTAGCTAATCTCATCCTTTTTCAGTATTTTAGGTTCTAGGAAAAAAAAAAAACAAACAAGGCCCATCTGAAGAAACTCACTTAGGGAATCTCAGTCACAGAAAAAAATTGGTTCATCTAAGTCCAAATCAGACATTTCAGTTTACATTCATGCTAATGAAATTCAGATAAATTACCCTGGCTGCCAACCCACTGACTTCTGGCTGAGGAGTACACACAGCTGGATGCCTGTAAAGCAGGCAGGACACAATTTCTGCATATAGGTTAATGACTGTTCTGCGTCATCAGCAGAGTACAGACACTACACCAGGGAACTCAGAAGAGCATTTTGCCTGCCTTTCAAATTTCTACTGAAAACAGAACTCATTTTTCCATCTGAATCAGATTATTATATGAAAATCTGAAAGCAGACTACATTACAGCATGAGGGATAAAAGGGAAATTATGTCCCCGTTGTAAAGTGACTTAACTACATAGTCTCTTGAATTCATGACAGATCTGACCCCTAAAAATCAGTTTCATCTTCTCCTTCTCTTATTCCTCACTGCCACCGTTAGTCTGACAATAGGATCGATACAAACACGCAAACTGGTTAAATGATGCAGCAAATTTCTTACTTTCTTTTTTAGAGATTTGCATTCTGACAAATAAAGATGTTTTGCAATTGATAACAGTTTATATGGCTACAGTCTTTATCTTAAAATAAATAAATAAATAAATAAAAAATCACAGATAAGACTAATCAGTACCTGTTTTGTCCTGAAAAGAAAATGCATTCAACTAATTCTTTCTGACTTGGCAAGTGTGACTTTCCCCATTTTCATCAGACACTAAGAAAGCCACATCTGCACAATTGCCTGTATTGTAATCAGTGCGGCCACCTTCCAGACTACTGTTAGCACTAGAAACATAGCAGGGAAGACAGATCCACTTGATCTTTATAGCAGATATAAAGTTGAATTTAGGTGACAGCATATATATATGTATGGTTTTTGTAAAGCTAGTTATTTTTTGTAGAGCTAGGTATAAAGCAGACATTTTAAAGTTTGAGAAAACAACGGACAGAACAACCATTGTAATTCTTCATGTTCAATCTTTGCTAAGTCAGTGCTCAGCTGTTACTTTGCTTTCGTAGTTGGTTCAAAAACTTTCCTGAGAACTTTCATGGAAATTTATTTCAAGGTGATTTCCCTTCCCCACCTTGAATATGCATTAGAAAGAAAAGAAAAAAAGAAAACACAAGAAAACTTTGAGCAGCTGCACATAAATTCCACTTAAGATTCCATTTTAAGAGTCTTGAAGCTGAATGGTTACCCAAATCATTAATTCAGTTTTAGCACCAAAATCCCTGGCCCAAACCATACACCATATTATAAATAAGTATTTCTTAATTTCAAACACATTAGAAAAAATCATTGTTTTTTAAAGTGAGCTGTACTTTTTCATAGTAACATTTAAGCACTTGTACTTTTTCATAATAACATTTAAGCACTTGTACTTTTTCATAGTAACATTTAAGCACTTTCTATCTGCAAAAAGCTTTATCATGACTTGATCCATAACTTTTTTTTTTGTGTACATGGGTTATAACGATAGCCATCCTGCAGTGCTGCGGTTTGGACTGTAACCATTAAAGTAGTAAACAGGTTGTCTTTTGCAACCTACTTCTAAATCTGCCATTAGGTAACCTCTTCACACTTCACACAGTCCTTGCCCAGGACTTTTCTTTTTCTATTGTTGTGCAGAAAATACTCAGTTTTTTAATAAGCAGCAACAGCCCCATTATTTAAAATGGGGAATTACGATAGGATCTCAAACACGTTTAGAAAACAGTCACAAAGTATAATCAGTGTTTCTGATTTTATCCACCTTACTGGTAATCTTTGCTTTTGCATTTTGCCTAACGCATTCCCAACAACTGTTAGAATTGCATGAATTATGCTTGCACACAATCTCAGAAAATTTAAGAAATTGTCAATCCTGGCTTACTCAAAAAGAAGAGTTTTCTGGTTCTTGTAAGGGAGGAGTATCTAACTCAAAGACCTCCAGAGTTCTACTACTTTATAACCTGTGCGTCAGTGTTCCCAAATAAAAACTGATAGAAAATGAGTTACAAATAGGAACTTCTGTGATGGTGCATACAATTTGTTTCTGACCTTTACAAATGAGACATACTACACATTTTTTTTCAAAATTTGGTGACTTTAGATGCAAGAAGCCCAAATTATGTTCTCAAAACATACACTAATATAAGAGATAATAGGGTTTGGTTTGATATCAATTTTGAGTTGTAAACACTAAACTGAACCTCCAAAATTAATACCAGTTCATTCCATCTGGAAATGCCAAATACCAAAACCAGAAAATACTGCCAACCTCTTTCACCTTTCAAAATGGTGAAACCTAGATTTAAAAATTCTAACAAGAGTAGGGTGCTGCTGTTGTTGTTGTTGTTGTTTTGTTTGTTTGTTTGTTTGTTTGTTTTGAGCCTAAAAATAAGAGCCGAGCTGCTCAAAGCTAAATATTAATTGCAAATAATAAGAACTTACCTTCCTGTCTGTTGTTTTTTCTTTTTAGCCATTTTTCAACAGTTTCCGCACTTACACTTTCTGACACAAACTCATCCAGCACCTGGGGATGAAGGGAAAGATAGGCCTTCACTTTTTCATCTGTTAAACCTGCAAGAGAGAAGATAATTGATTATAACATCGGCATGAAATTCTCCATGTGAATACACACGTCTGTAACAAAATATATCCTTGTGTACAACGTGCTGATTAAATAGAGCCCTATTTAAATTGTCTTCCCAGAATGATATCCAACGAAATGTAATGAGTTATCATATAAAAAGTAGTAGAAGCAAAATGCAACCATCCAAGATGCTCTGTATCACACTCCGTATGAGCATTCCCTGGGAGAAATGGACAGGAAGAAATTTGTGAAGTAGAACATAGGTGTTGGGGCTGGGACAGATAGTGAAACAAAACCTTGGCCAGCAGCTTTGGAAGGAAATTGATACAAAAGCAGTTCCAAAAAACAAAACAAAACAAAAAAACTAGCAACATACTTCAGCCAAGGAACAACAAGCGCTGTAATGACTCTAAATACTCCTCGGCTGGTGGTGTGTGTGTATAAGTAAAACTGTTTCTGTATAGCCCCAAAGTAACCACAAAGCACAGACTAGATTCAGCAAAAGAGAAACTTCCTTCCAGACAACTCCATCCTCTTTTGGGGAGCATTCATGGTGTAAGACAAGATCAGTTTTCCTACTTCAGTTTGGCACAACATCAAAATACACTGAAAAGAGCTGCAGTGTATTTAAATGCTAATCAATGACCATAAGCTTTGGGATCTCTTAGAAATACTATGAAAACATTCAGGACGCAACACCCCAGCACTGTCTGCAGGGCTTCAGCCATCTGCTCCTCACTTACACCCACTGCCGCTCCATCATTCAGCCCCCACCAGCACAACCCATGTCCAAAATACCACTTCTCTTATCCACCCGCAGCTGCAGCCTACCTGGGTTACCAGTGCCTCAGGTATCAGTGCTTCCACTTACAGACAAGAAACTCTAGATCTGCACTGCTCAAATTAGAGACCTAAATGAGCACCCTGATCTTCATTACTAAAGAAGCAAAGATGCTTGCCAACTCAGTAAAAGTAGGAGATGATCAACAAGTTTGGAAAAAAAAAAGAAAAAAGAAAAAAACAGACTAATTAAGATAGCTCTATAATTCATTTAATTAAGACAAATGTAATACTTCAAAAAAGAAAGACTTCCTAATTTCATAGTAAAAAAATCTGAAAAGAATGTATTTTGAGGACCACTCGTAAATGACTATGAAGTATTGAAGATTCAGAGTTTGTCATCAGAAAGACAGTAAAATTTATCTGCTTCTTAAATTTGGGATGAGAAATGCTCAATACAGGCTTGTCAGAGAATACCTGCTAGTTTAAGGATGTTCTCAGACCACAAATAAATGAACGGTTTTCCCTTCTAGTAAGAAGCAAGGAACTGGAAAATTTGTAAAATTAGTGAGGGAAATTCTGCAAGGTTTGATATATGTTTGAAGTGAAAATAACCTCAGCTTTCTAACGTGTGAAGTATTTATTCCTTAACTTCAACAGAATCACTCATTGAAATCTTTACAGGATGTTGTTGTTGTTTGTTTGTAATATACACATTAAAATTCAATAAAACATCTATATTTGAAATAAGACTTCAATTCATATTACTGTTTCAGGTATCTTGCAATTCCAGCAACCCGAGGGCAAAAATTCTGCTTGAAGCCTACTTGGAAAGTGATTCATGGAGCTGCTATAAGAAATCCTACAAAGACCTTTAAATTACCCTCCTTTGTTTCCATAAAGGCATCTGTGTTGAAGAGCTTTTTCAGTGTTTAGATATTTAGATAGGTGCAAGCAGAATAGGATTTAAATTTACATGCAGATTTTAAGAAAAAAAAAAAGAAGAAGAAATTTAGATCTACTTTCTACATACAACAAATGAGATGTAGTGGTCCTCCCGATCTTTGGTCTATTTATTTGAAAAACACACGCTACCTTTGTACAAAAACAAACAAACAAAAAACAACAACAAAATCCAACGATAACGCATTGTGACTTCAGAAAATCTTCACAAAAAAAAAATGTCCACTACTTCCACAGTAGCTTCCTACACAATAAGAATCTTTTTACTGCCTCCCCACTGACTCCCTCTTGTTCCTGAACTCTGGCATAGAGCATAAGCGATGCTCTCTGACAGAGGTCAGGTAGTATCAAGAGGGACCTCACTCAGGAAGACAGGCCCTGGCCAACACCTTAACATGCACCCAGCCAGAAAACCCAGAATGACCAGAATGATCTCAATTCTTCTGAGAATTAGAGGAATCTGACGTTCTGGTTGAGCATCAATTCATTCTATCTGTGCTTCAGAGTTTGCCTTCCTGATTCATACACATCCTGTTTAAATAAACACACACACACACAGACGCACCAAACAATCTTTCTCCCTTGTATTTTTATTTTTAACCAATAAACCCATGTTTCAGTGCTGTTATCTTTCTCTTGCAACTTGCTAATGCCCAGCTTAATGCAGATGTTCATTATTTGTATCACTGGATTTGTGACTAAATAATCAAAACTATAATAAAAATATAATACAAAAGTGTACATGCATATCAGATGAGCGCTTCCTCTTTTCATTTCCCTCAGAACAAACTGCAGGCAAAGGAACTGTTCAGCTTGCCCTCTCCGTGCACCAGGTCAGCAGCTCCCAGCTTCCTGACCAGCACAATTGTTTAGGTTCTCTTCGCAGATCTCAGTTTGAAATGTTCTCTTTGGCCATGCCATCTAAGCTTAAAAAGCTAATTCATAGGCACGGAAAACATTAATCAAGGCTTGTTTGGTTTCATTTTTTCCATTTCTCAGTTATCCCTGTCTGAACAGTAAGTGAAAAGACAGCCTTTCTATAAATGACACGTTTTACGCAAGTGTTTCGTATTACTGCGCTTTTTGTATCATTCAGTATAATTTGTTTATTTTAGTGCAAGATGATATCGAACTGGCAAAGCAAAGGGTGGAAGATAGCCTGTTCCCCAATAGCCCCCCCCCCCCCCCCCCCCCCCCCCCCCCCCCCAAGAGGCAATTTCTTGATCAGTGAAAAGGATTTTTATTGCCAAGGGGCAGTATCATCTGGCAGTTTGCTCAGTTTGGAATGTTAGAAGCAGGAAGGGAGAATCAGATGACAGAAAAGAAACAAATATATTTACTCCTAGTGTTTCTATAAACTGATACGTCTTGGACTGATACTTCAATGTATTCTACCAAATAACCATGTATCTATTTTTCCACTTTGCATATGCCTGGGGCTCAAACTGTTCTTCTCATTTAACACAGCTCATGCCAGTATATTGAAGTTTTGGTTTCATGTTTTCTATTTTATATAACTCCTCAGTCTTCAATGCAGCATTCACAAAGCTGCTTTGTTTATTTCTCCTTTTCAAGCTAGGATAAACGCCTTCTTTTTCACTGAAGTTATAGACAGAACCATACAAAATTTAAGACAGAAATTACAGATGTAATTTCTTCATTTCTTGTCTTAGTAAACTAACTATAGCAAATGCAAGCATTGTTCCCAAATACCACAGTCCAGTAATTTCAACATAAAGTAGGCAAATGTTTGTGACAGTTGTTGAAACAAACTCTCTTGTTCAGTCCTATGACTGTTACTTAAAGACATACTCTAACAACTTTCATTGTAGCGAGGCATGCTATACAAGTGGAACATTTTGCTGTGTTTCAAAACTGCCTTCCTGAGTAGTGAGATTTGATGCTTTATATCAGTTCCCCAAAGGAACTAAACTGTATCAACCACAGTATTTCTTCCTCAGCATGAGTATGTGCATGTATCCTTTTCCAATTAAAAAAAAAAAAAAAAAAAAAAAAAAAAAAAAAAAGTGGGTAAGATTCAATGGCTCACACCTCTCCCAACTTCTTTACATCTGTGAACATTCCTAACCTAAAGCTGCCCTTACAGAATATCAAACTAAATTTGACATAGCGACAGCAAGAAAATGGCACACTTAGCAACAGTTTGCACATCACTTTGACATGAAAATGTTTTTACTGAGAAGAGAGTATTAGTTACAATGCTTACATTAACTTTCTTCTTTTGAAAATCTTGACTATGAATATTCATACTCTATCTGAAGAAATCAGGCACAGCATATTCTCAGGAAGAATATAAGGTTAGTGTTCCCTAATGAGTCCAGAGTCTTTAAAGAGAGCAAACTGCCTCCAGCTTCAGAGCTAGGAGTATAGATACTGGCAAGATGACTTTTGAAGAAGCCTGAAGTGAATGAAGTTAAGTTTCCAAACAAAACATATATTAGAATGGACAATAAAGAATAACGCATGACAGTAGACAAAGCTTATAGAATAGGAATGTTCATGTAACAAATCTATTCATATTCTTTTGCCAATGCACTACAAAGCAGTATTGAGCAGGGGGTCAGCCTCTTCTCTTGTGTAACGAGTGGTAGAACTAGAGGGAATGGATTCAAGCTGCACCAGGGGAGATTTAGGCTGCATGTTATGAAATATGACTTTTCTGAAAGAGTGGTCAAGCACTGGAATGGGCCGCCCAGGGAGGTGGTGGAGTCACCAACCCCGGAGGTATTCAAGGAATGGTTGGATTTTGTATTGAGGGACATGGTTTAGTGAGCACTATTGGTGATAGGTGGATGGTTGGACTGGATGATCTTGGTGATTCTGTGAAGCACGCTTCTAACACTTTAACAGCATAGAACAAAGCAGTTCAGTACAAAAGGATGCTCCTATGCAGTGTTTATTTACTATCCCAGATATAGCATGGCTGGATTCCAAAGGAAACTAAGAAACAAGACCTCCTGCAAACATTAGGTTTCAGTAATTACTACTTGCCTTTAAGCCATTCTCCAACATTCTCCCTTTACGAATCATAATAATAGAGTCAGAAAACGTGAAAGTTATATTTCTGCTTTCGGCTTTTTTTTTTCTTCCATGTAAAATACTTCTAAAATTTTCTTACACATTAGATAACCTTTGTAGCACTGAATCAATTAATGGCTCCACTTCTGAACACATATTGTGTTGCACCCTCCTCTGAGAACAGCTTCACTGAGCTCAGTGTAAA